CCAGGAATAACATTATTGTGACTATAACAGCATCAATGCTATTTGTACACTTTGTCCTCTGCTGGGCAGAGAAAGCATAAATGCAAAACAGTATGCAGGTATTTGCCACTTAAAACAGTCAATGAGTCAAGGCTAAGGAAGGAGAAGGCCAGCTCCCACCTCCTGTCATAGCACATAACAGCTGTATTCCTAGCTCAGGGCCTCACTGCTGTTACGGCAGCAGGGGCAGAGAGATGGGAAAGGATGGGGTGGGATGCTTGATGCCAGCTGCCAGAGCAGGCACCAGCACCTCTGAAGGGAGGAAAGAGAAAACACGTTCCTCTGTGAGGCCACTATTACAAAGCCTCTGGGCCCCCTCCAATCTGAATGAGATTGATTATTTAAGGCTACTCAGCTTTGCAGTAGGGGAGTGAGGTAGCAAACTTCTCATGGAGTTCCAACTGCATTTAAACTCAGTAAGTCTGGCACAAAGGTTGACAGGGCAAGAAGTGAAGAGGGGCTGTAGGTTATGATTTTTGAAAATTACTTTTAAACTGAGTCATTCCCCTGTGATGAGTCTTTAAAGTCCCACTATGTATTCAAATAGGGGCGTAAGCCAGGAAAACATGCAGCATATGATCCTCTCTCTGTAGGCACCCAGCAGTGCTAAGAGCAAGATGAAGGCAGGAGTATCTGCAGCCTCTCAAGAATGTCTTCTGCTCTTTTAATAGTTCTCCTTGGGAGGGTGTGGAGGTTTGTATCACATATCATTCTCCTGTTGCTGAATCAAAAATAGTGCAATGATTCATTTTTTACAGGCAGTGAGACAGTCACCAGCCACACCAAGCACATGTTCCACCACCTGCTCTGGTCCAGTTTACCCAGGGTCTGTTTCAACCACGGGTCCTCTCAACTCAAGCAGCAGTTTTGCTTGACCAAGGTCTGCAATGCTGATTAAATCCCTCTTTCTGCTGCAGTACATGCTTTCAGCAGGTTGGCAGATTATGTCCTTTGATCAAAAAATCCACTGAAATAAGTGGGATTTTTTCTGCTGCCTTCCAGGAACCTTGGGTCACAGCTGTTGGGTTTGAGAAGTCCACCTTGGAATTGGGAAGCTGTCCCTGGATGAATGCAGTGCCACCCGGGAGCATGTACTGCAAAGAGCATTGACTCTGCCTACTTTTAGTAGCAGAGAGAGAAACACCAGAGGCAGGAAGTTGTAACCGGGGAGCCTAAAATGCAGTGATTTTGAACCTTCTTTTCTCCTGAACCCTAACTTGAAGAGCTAAACCATTTTCCCTTCCACAGGGACCTGCAGAATGAACAACAGGGAATAATCTATGGTAGTTTATTAATATCCAGTTCCTAGGAATAGGTGTTTCCTTGCTCTGTACAAGGAATCCCTGTGAAAGTTGCAAGTTGGCAATTTCACAATAGATATTAGGCTTCCAATATCTGTTTTATTTTTGTATTTTATTTCCTAAAGCATTCTTGTGCTTTATCTCAAATCAAAACAATCTGTGCTAGCAGACCTACAATAATCACCTTTAGGGGTGACCAATATACAAAAAAAGAGTGGAAGAGGAAGGAAAACATAAACTTCCATTTTCAGTGAACTACTATTCATTAGATTGATATTCTTAACTATTAATAACTAACTAACCACTAGAATCATTTGCCACAGACCCCTCCTAACACTGATCGCAACAGGGCTGTGCTGTGACCTGTACCTTGCTCAACATGCAGCAATATTTATCCACTGGATTGAGCAATGCAAATCATGTCCAGCCCACAGTCTCGCTTTACAGGGCTGACTGAATTTTGACATTAACCCCACTGCTAATCTATGCTAGCACGTAAACCTTGGCCTTGTTAAAGACTTTTATGCCAGCCTCTCATATCTGCTTTTTAGGTCTCTGATCTCTCACCTCAGTATCGTCAGACCTCTACTGGTGCAAAGGGCTCTAAAAGAAAATAGTTTGTTACTTCTTGACATTGTCTTCCCACTGTGTCACTTGTGGATTTAAATACTGGGGTTTTTTGTCTCTCACCTTCTTTTGCCTTCATATGCAGCCTCTTGAGTTCACTTCTGGTTTGTATCCATTTTATAGGGACATTGTCCTACTGAAGTACACTGCTATAACCCTGTACTTATCATGTGCTTTGCGAGATAAAGAGACAAGGTCAAACCTTGTTATGCTCTATTTTGCATACATATGCCACTTGATTTCATTATGAAAAGCAACATGAAACTGATACTCCCAGTTGCTGTGTTCTCACCAGCAGTATTTTAAACTGTGGCATATAACTTAAGTGTTCTCCAGTCTCTATTTCTGATTATAAGCTCTGCGATCCTTCTGTCCATCCAAACAGCTTAACAAATTCCAGTTTGAATGTACTAAACAGTGTGGACTGAGTATAAACTGATAATGGCCTCCAGACTCTGAATCACATGAAAGAAATTCCCATGGACACGGCTGGTTACACCAGACCCTAAACTCAGCAATGGGTCACTACAAAACCTACAGCTTCCCACTTTTTGTGTCTACATCCTCCCCTCAGTCAGGGCAAGCTGCTGAGCAAGTAGCCTCCTACTTCCCTCACACCGGTTTCTGTGCAGAGCACATGTGGAGAGGTACTGGCAGTGGAAGTCATAGCACACTCCTCTAGCTGTTTGGCAGGATCCCAGGTGCGATACCACCCACCAAAAAGCAACGTAGGCTGAGAAAGAAAGTTCAAAAGCCCACTCACTTTGGACTTCAACTGTGGAAAATGCAGCGTTTGCTCATTGCTAAGAATGAGGACTTTTCTACATCAATTGATAGCACTGATGTCTTCTTCAGAACCTTCCTACAGAGAATGGGGGCGGTCAGCACAAGTACCACTTTAAGACAATTTCAGATATTTGCATTCCCAAATACTTTGTAAATGACAAAATAAAAGATCCTCACAAAGAAGTAATATCCCTAGGACAAAATAAATACACTTACTCTTCCTTGCTCTGCCCCCAGAATGCTTCTGAGTATTTTAAATGGTGAAAGGACAGAGGGATTTAAAATTACAAGAATCCTGAGATTCAAAATCACCAACACTTTGACTGACATAATCCACCACGGTGATTTTAATAGTACAAATCCTGCCTTCCTCATAATATTATGATGTCTATTTTTTTTTATTGCAAGACTGCAGAAAATTGGGCAGATACTTGTAAAAGAAGTAACAAAAGGTTGTCCTGAAAGCAGCCCAGTGAATACAAGCTGTTTCCTCCAGTCTTTCCCCTCCATCTCACAGTGAACAAATGGAATTTTCTACTTCTCTGTTGCACAGATTTCCCTTAAGGAAAAAGAGGCTTGCATCAGTTCCTGAAAATAGTTGCATGGTAGTGCTCCTGAAACTGCTTCACATTTGGGTCAAATCTTGAAAACAGCTTTAAAAAGCTACCAGAGCTGAAGAGGTTTTATGCGAGCACCTCAAGCTGTGTCTTGCACATTGAAATATGGCACTAAAGAGACTAGAGAGAAGCCAACGATTTCAAGTCACTGGAAAGCTAACTCTGTGACTCTAATAAGAATAGAGCAGTGGTATTGTGACAAGTGATAAAGAACAATGAACTTTCAAAGCGACAAAGGTGTCTAGGAAAGGCAAACAGCCCTACTGTAAGTGCCCCTCTGATAGGCAGTGGGAGATGCAACAGAAGCACTAAAAGGGAAATTTGGAAAAGAATGTGACAGTTAGGCTCAATCTTACAGAAGAAGTTAATTCATCAGAAGGATTTAATTATTCCCTATTATATAAAAAAAGGTGGTTTTATGATTACAAATGTAAAAATAGGCCTTTCCAAATTTTCTTTGCTGACTGCTTGTTAATGCTAGTTTGATTGTCTTTTCATTGTGAAGCATCACATTTTCAGAGCTGTTCACAGAATACTATTGGTGTATTGGGAATCTGAAATCTGAACAGGCATATATTCTTTTAACTCACAGTCTGATAATGCTGATACAGGTCTTCATAAACTGAAAAATATAAATATTGAAAATAGAACTACTATTTTATCATTTTAAAACAAACTTTGAATTTTTCCAAACATTATTTCATTTTATTATAGATGCCTGAACATTTTCCATAGTCAATATGGAAGTTTTTCACACTTTTGCATGAGTTTGGCATATTGTTACACTGACAAGGCATTCAAATATTTGCCATATTATTGCTAACACAAACCATTTAGGTGTATGCTGTGAACTATGCAACTTGATACTAGAAGCTCCTTAAACAAGTTGGAAGTAACTTGGTGCCTCTCTGCACAGCTTGTGAACAGGTGTTGGATCAAATCTGTAATGCTTATTTAGGTTTTATTTGGACGTTACCTTTTTTTACTTAAGTGGCAGTTTGCCCTGTTAATAGCACACTGCAGTTAATACTGCTACTATCTCCTAATAACCCTGCATAGAAATAAAATTGCTGACGTTACTAATATCCCCAGATAGCAGATTTGCAAGAGTATGTAAAGGGGAATCGCTCCTCTTGTCACTGAGGAACTGAGGGAGTAAACATGGCTCCTTCACTGTTGCTGGTAAATACCAGATCTTGCATTCCGCTAAAAACCAAGGCAGGCACTTGCTGCGTAGGGAGGTCAGGACGTAAATGGAAAGGGAATAGTTTCCTCAGCACGTGTACGTTTGGTGACAAAGCATCCCAGAAGCAACCACACCGTCTTACGCATCTCTCCTTTCCCTAAGCACAAGAACCTGGACTTCTTTTACAAACAGGAAAGGAGTGAAAGGTTTTGCCTACTGCACGCAGACAGAATTTCAGCATTCAGCACTGCCCTTTCATTTAAAGTATCTTTGTCTGTTCCCTAATTATCTAACAGTATTCACTCTGACCTAAGGGAGAGATTAGATTTTTTTTTTAATTGATTTTTTTTATTGAGATTCTATTGCCATGCGGCTCTGTGTGTGTGTGTGTGTGTGTGAAGTTGCTTCTCTTCTTTTAGAAATCAGAATACAGATTTTTTCCTATTTATAATTAATGACAGTTGTTTTATTAACCACTGCTCTTTCTAAAGGCAAAGCATTGTTTACCATCAGAAACGTACAGTCTAAAAAGGTATTCCTGAATGTTTTCTTTTGGAAGTGTACAGGGTTATAATATAAAAAAAGCAGATATTCAACTATATTTCATATTGCATCTGATAGGAGTGGCTCCATACAATATGGATGAAGCAAATCCAGCAGTTAATTTCTTTGAGACATAAAGAGCATAAAACACAGACATTTCCAGATCTGGTCTTGTATCATACATAACATTGCCTGACCCTTTTGTTATCATTAAAATCCAGCCTACTTTATTAATTATTCATATTTTATTTTGCTATATTGATTGTTCAAGTTAGAAAAAAACAGTTTAAAAGTACTGACTTCAGGACACTGCAAGACCCTAGGTACTGCAAACTCTGAGGATAAATATACATTTATTTTTTCAGAAAATATGTCATTACCTGCAGATGAATCAATGCAAAATGATCGTGCAATTAAATACAACAGTCTCAACTGAAATTTAAAGCTGCAGATCATGTTTTCCCTACTCCCAGTGCTGCTTGAAATCTCTCACACTTAAAAAAATAGAATTAGCTTTAGATTTATCCCACAATAAATAACACCAGAACATACCTTGTGCTACCAACCTGAATTAAAAAAAAAAGTAAGAGGCCACCTCAGTGTTTTGAGTTTATGGGATCTTTCAGACACAAAGCCCTAACAGAGTTTCCCAGTCAAAAGGCATCAGGAAGGCTCATCGCTTATGGTAAACTTGGGCTTTAGCTTCACAGACCTCTTCCTTATTGTGCCTTTAGGGGAAAACGGCATGGTATCCATAATGCTCTTGTCCTCCTCCAGCTGCCTAGCAGTGCATGAAGGGGTGGGCACTTTCACTGTGTTGCCAAATTTAGAGTAGTCCACAGAGTATCGCCCATCTTCCTCTGCCACAATGGGCACAAACCTTTGACCCCAGAGAATTTCATCTGCCAGGTAGGAGGTTCTGGCTTGAGTGGTGATGCCAGTGGTCTCCACCACCCCTTCCAAGATGACGATGATCTCCAGGTCCTCATGGTGGTGAAGGTTTACAGGGGAGATGTCGTAGAGGGGACTGTTTTTGTCTATCACGTGGTAGATAATGAGTGGGGAGACGAGGAAGATGCTGTTGCCCCCCACAGGGTTCTCCATCTGGATGTCTATCTGGTTGAGGGGCACCACCTCCCCCTCCAGGCTGGTGGTCTTCTTCACCACCTGCATGCGGATGGTGGCGCTGATGATCATGCTCTTCCGGAGGTCCCCCACCCGCAGCATGAAGCAGAGCTTGCCCTCCCGCAGGGCGATGACCGCGTGCTTGCTGAAGATGAGGGTCTCAGCTCGGCGGTGGGCTTGTGAGGTCTTCATGAAGATGCAGCCCAGCATGATGGCGTTGATCACCAGCCCCACGATGTTCTGCACAATCAGCACCAGGATGGCGGCGGGACACTCCTCCGTCACCATGCGTCCCCCAAAGCCAATCGTCACTTGCACCTCGATGGAGAAGAGGAAGGCAGAGGTGAAGGAGTGGATGCTGGTCACGCAGGGAACAAAGGTGGCCGGGGCCCCTTCTACCCCTTCCCTGGGGTCACGCTGCAGCCGGGTGCTGTGATCCAGGTCTCCGTGGGCGAAAGCGATGAGCCACCACACCATGCCGAAGAGCAACCAGCTGCAGAGGAAGGACATGGTGAAGATGAGCAGTGTGTGATGCCACTTGAGGTCTACCAAGGTGGTGAAGACGTCCTGGAGAAAGCGTCCCTGCTCCCGGATGTTTTTATGGGCCACGTTGCAGGCACCGTTCTTGCCCACAAAACGCGCCCGACGCTCCCGTGCGCGATACCGGGCATGATCCGGCACATCCTCCGCCAGCCGGGTCAGCACGTACTCCTCGGGGATGATCCCCTTCCTCGACAGCATGGCTGCCCGCCGCCGCCGCTCAGCGCCGCCCCATGCAGCCGCCGCTCTGCCGGGGGTGGGAGGGAAGGCACGGCGGGGGAAGCGGGGGACGGCAGCACGACGGGGCCGAGCGGGCGCACGGCGCCGCTGCAGCCCCCGCGGTATGCGGGCAGAGCGGCGCGGCGGCCGCCAGGCGGCGCCGCCGAGGTACGAGTCGGCGGTCGGGAAGCGGCGTGGGGAGCAGGGCTCGGCCTCTGCCGGGCCGCGGTGTTGCGGGCCCCGAGGCCGTGGCGGTCCCTCGGCGAGCCCCTAGCGGAGGGACGGGGACTGAGGCGCTCCTGCGCGCCTGTGTGCGGAGGAGCCGCGCGCACCGCCGCGTAACGGTCGTTGAGCGACGGTGGCAACGGAAGGCGGTTAAAAACCGTCTCCGTGAAGGGAAGGGAAGGGCAGGGCAGGGGGGATCCGAGTCCCGGATTGCTCCCCGGTGAGCGCGGGGTGCGTTGGTCACCTCTTTACCTCAGTGGTGGTGTGGGTGCGGGGCTTTTCATTCTTTTAATTATTATTTTTTTCCCCTGAGGAAGGGGGAGGGCTGGCTTCGGCCGCGGTTTCTGTGTTTGTCCCAGGATGGGTTTCCTGGCAGTACCTGGATTCCTTCCGTTAACGGTGGCTGCTTTGTGGGATGATGTGGTTTCACCACACACAGGTTGGGCAATTGTTCTGTGACACAGAAAACAAAATAGGACTGGGTTGGCTTTCAATGGAAAAAAAATCCTGAAATTCACCTGCACATCTGTCTTTCTGGGAGTGCGGGAAAAGCGTTTGTCTGATGAGCCTGGCAGGCAGTGGGAGGAAATTTGCCTGAAGAGGCCAAGTCCAGGATGTGTGGTTAATCAGAGAACTGTAACTAAAGGGTCTCAATCCAGCTCATAAAATTTGCAGGAGTTATTTAGGTTTGACCAAGGAAGGATTTTTCCTACAGAAGGAGCTCGTGAAACGTGAGTTCTGGCTGCCTGGGAGAATGTCTGCTGTGCAGATAGCAGTACAGGTTGCAAAAGAATGGTCTGTCGGCAGATGGTTAACCCGCACTGGCAAAAACGTCCAGACAGACATCAAAATCGCCAGCGAAAGGGGACAGGGAGGTAGGAAACCTGTGTGTGGCAGTGTGATGTCTCTGTGTGCTTACGTACACGTGCATGTGGAGGTATCTGTGGGACAAGGTGTATTATTTAAAAACACTGCTCCACTTTTAAATAGCAATATTCTCATTCATGTGTTTACCTACTCTGATTTAAATATTTTGGGTTTATTTCAGTTTAGGCACCAACACTGTAGAATTGCTAAGCCATCCTGGGATATTCCGGATAAGAGGTTTTTATTTACTACCAGTGGATTCACAATTACATTTTTCTAATTGTATGCGTCCATGGACTTTCTCTTCAGTTTTGGCTATGAATGCTTTGGTACACACTATAAGCAGTTATTGGCATTGATTGCCTGGGCAAGGCAATTGCACAGTTGATGGTTGGGAGCCAGCCAGTTGGGGTTGAATCAACATTCACCACCTACAGCTACTTACAGTGGCCCACATAGGGACTTCAGAACAGTAGTTTTAAGTAATCACTATCTGATCTCTCTGAGCACTTGTTGTAAGTCTTATAATTAAATGATCACTATTACTTTAGACTATTGCTACTTTTTATATATGAAGAGTTATGTGTCCTTGGACACATTCATTACTTGCAGAGGGGTCAGTTTCCCAATACTACATGCCGCTTCTTGTTCTGGGTCATCTTTCTTGCCACTTTGATAAATAAAATTAAGATAACAACAAGATGCCCTGCTGAGCTTAGCCAAAGATATTTTTCCTTTTTCTGTATTACTTTGTGAGCTAGACATTTTTTGTGTACTTGCTGTGAATGTCACCTACACCTACACTTAAAGTATATGATTTATATATATAACTTTAAAAAAATGTATTTTTTTTTACTTTTTTCCCTAAACATTTAAAAACCCACAAATGTCTGAAGAAATTTGAAGATTTCCTTGTCAGAAGTGTGGTTTTCCAGCTGATGGCAGCTCATAGTTACTTCCATCATTTTGAAGTGAGCATGAAGAGGCTCTATAACACCGTTGCAGTTCATAAGTAGCATTTCACACAGTTTTGCAGAGATGCACGTAAGTGTTCAAGAGGCAGTCAGGTCTTTCTGGCCATTTCTTCCTCTTTTTCTAATCGTTATTTTATTCTATACCTTTTCCTCCAGAGGGCGGTAACTACGTGGATGTGGAATGAAAAAACCTGTGTTGGGCAGGAGTGTTTTAAAGGGAAAGGTAAATTGCTTCATAGTCTGGTGCTAGCCCTGATGCATGGAGCCTACTACAACAAGGGGTGTTTCCTGAACAGTCACCACGCTGGCTTTAGGAATCCTGAACTCTGTAAGTCTAGAAGGGTGTTCCCTTGTTTCCACTTCTGTTCTTTTTTGGGACTGTCATTTGCCACTTCTTTTTCTTCACCTCTGAGCACTTATTTGCTGAGATAGGGCAGCAAAGCAAGTGGCTTCAGCTGAGGAATTTCTAGAGCGGAATTAAAACAAGCCCTGTCTTTGTGGATCAAGTAACAGATACTTAATAAAAAAAAGTGACAGATCTTCTGAGTGAGCCAACATATTTGTGTTAAGAGCTGCTGAACAAATTGGGCTCACGGGAATGAACAATCCCACTCTGTAGTATAGAATCTTGGAGGGTAACTTTTTCCACCCACAAAATAGGTTTTACATTTGAATACTCCCCTCTGCTCCAATTTATCCAAACTTTCATGGCTATCAAATAAGATACTGCTGTAAATTAAATTAAAATTTAGTTGGCACTGTGGTATTACTCTGCCTTTAGAAGCAGACCTTTCTTTCAAAGGCTGTGCAGTGTTAACCTAACATGAATTAAGCCTCACAAATCACCATTCTGTGAGGGTGGGTAAACAGAAGAAAAGAGATCCAAGCTGGTTATGCAAAGCCAGAGGGGAAGGCATGAGAAGAGCTAGTAAGAGGGCTAATGTAGCAGGCATGCTGTGTTCTCTCAGAAATAAGTAGAAGAGGATGAAATAGCCACACTAAGACAAGGGAATAAATGCTATAAAGGTTTTTGTATAACAGGTGCATTTGTAGAAAGAAAGAAAAAAAATAAATTAAAATAGACCCAGGTTGCGTCTCCACAGGCAGCCTATCCCACTAACACCTTTGGGACCCAGCCAAGACACATCCCAGAGGAGAAATGAAAGTCTGGACATGGCAGCTCCCCTCAGCAGCTTCACATGGCTGCTCTGGAGCTGTCTTGCACCCATTTTAGTACAGCATTTTCACAGTATCACAGTATGCTAGAGATTGGAAGGGACCTCAAAAGATCATCTAGTCCAATCCCCCTGCCAGAGCAGGAACACCTAGATAATGTTACACAGGAATGTGTCCAGGCGGGTTTTGAATGTCTGCAGGGAAGGAGACTCCACAACCTCCCTGGGCAGCCTGTTCCAGTGTTCCGTCACCCTCACTGAGAAGAAGTTTCTTCTCAAGTTTAAGTGGAACCTCTTGTGTTCCAGTTTGTACCCATTACCCCTTGTCCTATCATTGTTTGCCACTGAGTAGAGCCTGGCTCCATCCTCGTGACACTCCCCCTTTATATATTTATATACACTAATAAGGTCACCCCTCAGTCTCCTCTTCTCTAAACTATAGAGACCCAGCTCCCTCAGTCTTTCCTCATAAGGGAGATGTTCCACTCCCTTAATCATCTTAGTTGCCCTGCGCTGGACTCTCTCCAGCAGCTCCCTGTCCTTCTTGAACTGAGGGGCCCAGAACTGGACACAATATTCCAGATGCGGTCTCACCAGGGCAGAGTAGAGGGGAAGGAGGACCTCTCTCGACCTACTAACCACCGCCCTTCTAATACACCCCAGGATGCCATTGGCCTTCTTGGCCACAAGGGCACAGTGTTGGCTCATGGTCATCCTGTCGTCCACTAGGACCCCCAGGTCCCTCTCCCCTACACTGCTCTCTAACAGGTCGTTTCCCAACCTATACTGGAACCTGGGGTTGTTCCTGCCCAGATGAAGGACTCTACACTTTCCCTTGTTATATTTCATCCAGTTATTCCCTGCCCAACTCTCCAGCCTGTCCAGGTCTCACTGGATGGCAGCACAGCCTTCTGGTGTGTCAGCCACTCCTCCCAGCTTAGTGTCATCAGCAGACTTGCTGATAGTACACTCAATTCCCTCATCTAAATCACTGATGAATATATTAAATAATACTGGTCCCAGTACTGACCCTTGAGGCACTCCACTAGTTACAGGCCTCCAACTAGACTCAGCCCCATAGACTACAACTCTGGCTTCTCTCCTTCAGCCAGTTCACAGTCCACCTCACTACCTGATCATCCAGACCACACTTCCTCAATTTAGCTGCGAGGATGCTGTGGGAGACTGTGTCAAATGCTTTGCTGAGTAATGCTTCATTGCCATGCAAAATACATTTGTGAACCTGATTTAATGACTTCTGGACCGTCTTCCTCAAGGTAACAGCTTTAATGACTCAGATAATGGGTGTGAGCCTCCCAGCATGGAACAATTTTCTTGGATACTGCGTCTGGTTATGGTGAAACTCTAACCCTTTGGAGTTAGGGGGCAGGAACTCCCTGGGACTTGGCCCCATGTAAAGCAGACTAGATAAAACATGCTGAGGAAATGTGAAGTGTATTCTGTCCAAGTGGCGGCTAAGAGGCCTCCCTGTTCACGCATGCTTACCCAGCAGTGTAGTACCATTCAAAAGATACATAATTGGTGGGTATGACCCAACTCTTCCTACCCTCCTGCAATGCTGCTTTGTGAAATACAAGCCCCACAGATGATGGAAATGTATGGCACTTGTACTTTGTGTTCTTATTTATTAATACCTCAAGATATAATGCTGTTGTCTTAGTGACATGCTGTGTCCTTTACTCCCTTGCATTACTATCCAGGTAAGATTGTCAGAGGCTTGTGGAAGAGCAGCTAGTCCAAATTGCAGTGTCAAATTCCAGGCACTATATTAAAAGCATATGAAAATTCACTTTATCTTCCACAGATGGTTGCAAAGCTTCTGAAAATCTCTCTTTGCAGCATGAGTTTGAGATGTTCTGTAGGGTGGTGGTCTCCCTAAGTTTTTACAGAATGAGATCTTGCCTTAGACCAGTACTGGGCATCTAGGAGACAAGCATGCATATTAGCTGTAGTAGAAACCTGTACGTTGACTGAGCTCTTCTGCTACCCTGGAAGGATAGTCACCTATCTCTCATCTCTTCCCTCTTAGTCCTAATGTGTCCCTTGTATCGCAGTGTGAAAACACACCAATAGTTTTGCAGCTGTTTTTTCTTTGACACTACCAAGCAAATGAGTCCCTGGAGGAGTTACCTCCCAGCTGCATCTTCTCTTTCTTCATTTGCAGCAGGCAGTGACAGAAGTCATGCATTTTATCTGCATAACTGTATTCTATCTCCCTCCTTTTATCGCTGTTCATCCTATACTCTCCTGCTGGTTCTCAGGCTGCGGTTTAATGCCCTTAGGTATTACAGAAATAATAGCAGGCAGATGCTGCAAATACTGTGCTCTGGAATTGATAGCACTACTTAAACAGCAGTAACAGTTCTTCAGTTTTCATAGTTTCAGCACTAGAAGTAATGCATTAAAAATACCATGTATCCCGTGAGAACACTGAGGCATATTTTTTTTTTTAAAATAAAGCATTCAAAAACCAGATTCCAAATTAATTGAGCAGGCTAAAGGAGAAAAAAAACAACAAATGATTTTTCCCAAGTGCTAGGAATTCTTCAAAATGGGAAAAAGGACAAAAATGGATGTAAAGCCAAAGTTGCCATAAAAAGAGTAATAGCAAAAAATTCATTGTAGCCTTCCATTGGGTTATTGACATTCTAACCTCTTAATAATTAGTAAATCCTGGAATGACTGTCACAATGAATCAAGAGGGCAGGGATAAGTAGCCGTCTAGCCAAATTAGGATAATTTTGGTACTTACAAGCTATCTTAGTAAGTATCCATGATTTATTGGTAAGTGCAACAGTGGGTGAAATATATGAAACTAGGAGAGGATGAGTCAAGCTTACATGGCTCCGAGACATAGTGAACGATTTAATACAGTTTATTTACCAGACTTGGAGGGATGATTTCCAGGTGAATTGGTACATCTGCACTGGTCTGGAAACAGTGGACATTAAGCAGTGATACTTTATCACAGCCTGCCTGCTCTTAGCTTCTTCACAGTTTGGGAGCCAGTCAGGCTCAATCTCATTTGGAATCACTATAATATTATTCAGTGGGGGTAGAAGTGAAGTAGCCTAAGAAAGACTAAAGGAATTGGATTGTGATTAATTGCTAAATGGTATTAAAGGAGAGACCATCAGACACAGGCACTACCAGTAAACCACAATGTAACTTTTTTAAAATAGATTTTATATTTAGATATTAAAGCTTTACAGAGTCATATGATTAAAAGAGATACAAGCTTTTTAGAAATACCTTTGGTATACAATTTTTCTGTCTGCATTTAGTCAGTCATAAGCGTTATCTACAGTAGGGCTATCACACATAAAAAATAACATGTTAATAAAATGGCAGGAGAAGTTTAAGATTTACATAAAAACTCGATGTTGGCTATGCTTGTTTGATGTGCATCCTGTCATATTTCACCCATGTAGGTTTTTTCCAACCATATTTCATGGTGCTTTGGTGCCAAATAAAAACAAGAGTAGTATGCAAAAAAAAGGAAAGTAGATGGGTAATTCATTAATACTTCAGATGGAGAAAATTGGCTCATTTTATTAAAAAAGGAAAACCTCAATTATGAAATAGTATTTATTTACAGGTATTTTACATTTTTAGAAAATAATACAATTGTACTTTAAAATGCTTCATTATTTTTTATTACTTATCTGCTTGTACAAAAGAAGCAAAGACACTGTCTTCTTGTTCTAGCAGAACTTCAGGCTTGTCATATTCCAAAATAACCCCTCTCTTCATTACAATAACCAAATCCGCATTGAGGATCGTGTGCACTCGGTGCTGAAAAACGAATAAACAAAATACCAGTTCAGTGTTTCTATGAAATATATTCTAGGATAAGAGAGAATTCCAGAAATTAATTTTCCTATCACGTTCAGTTAAGGCTACTTGTCATCCTTATTTACTGTGCAGCTGCTGCAGAGCATTACACACCAAGAGCCACATGAATATTCAAGTGCCTAAACTGCACACAGGTACTTGGCTATGAAGATTCATATTGGTTCAGACTACAGTGTCCCTAGCCCAAAGTTCTTCCATCAAACATTGCCACAAGGAGGTAGCCAGGAAGAGTGGGCAAGTGCAGTACTGCACAAGGGTACTCTCCCAGGCCTGGACTACATCTGGGTCAGAGTGGTTCCTGAGCTTGGTGTAGTTTGTCCATTTGTAAAACTGACTACAATCTCTTTAAGACCTTTCCCACATCTCTCTTGAGCTTTCAGAAACATTTTGCATCCTCATCCTTTGGAAAAGATTTTTTCAGGTTTGGTCCCCACTGCACGAATATCTCATTTTGTATGCTCTGGGCCTCGCTGCTCAGAGCTTCACTTGATGCCCCTTGCCTCATGATTTTGCAGACCTCTCTCACATGTCCTTACATTGTCCTTTCAGGCAGAAGAAAACTAGCCTGCTCAGCTGCTCTCCCCTTAAGGAGCAGTTCCCCACCTCTGATCATCTTGTTCTTTGCAACATTTTTCAGTTGTAATGTATCGTTCTGGGGATGAGGAGACTGGAACTACATGCATTATTCAAGGTATGTGTGAACTATAGACTTACACAGTGGTATGATGTTTTCGTTCTTCTCTACCCTTTTTCTAATAAGCCCTAGCATTTAACTATTTTATTAGGAAGAAACCTCCCCATTTTTTTTTTTTCCACAGTTAAAATAATTAATTCAGCTTTTCTGCAATACCTTTATCTTTCCTGAGCATTCTTTTCAGGTACTGATCATCAAATAGCCCTATAAATTGACAGACTTCTTGCTCCCAGTGTGTTTTAGGGATTCATGGATTTGCTATTAGCTATGATGGCTTCCAGAAGCTGGTCTTATACTTTATTTTTTGGCCTGCCTTGTTGCATTTTCACATGTAACATGCCAGAGCTTATTATCATTTCTATTTTCTTTATTTGGCTATGACTTCAGCTTTTACAAGAATGCCTTCTTCTTTCTAATAATCTTTTTTCATTTCTTTAGCCACACCAGCTTCTTTCTATCCTAACAAATAGCATGCACTGGCTGTGGGATTTCTGAATAAAATCCAAATCCTTCTGTAATTGCCATGATCCATGACAGATTCAGTTTTCCTTGCTGCTTCTTTTAGCTTTTTTTCCCTACCATTTTTTGGTATTTTTTTTTTTAGAAAGCTCTCTCATTTTTTGAGAATTCCACTTTTAACATGTAAAATCCAACTGCACCAGATTTTTGAGTCTGCATTACTTTTGCAGGGATATTTAATCTTAGAATACTATGTACCCTGTTACCTATTCACCCTTCACCCGTAAGGTTTCTAACAAGATCTTGGGCACTTTCAGTACCAAAACAACTCTTGCATTTCCTTCTGTGTCTTCCTAGCCAGATGTTCCATAAAAATAATCACTGATAGCATCTACAAATCTCATCTCTGCTGCAGTCCTTCTGTGACATCTATTCAGTCTACAAGAGGGGGGAGGGGACTGAAATATCACAATCCAGCTGTACTTGCTGCCCTGGTTTTCTGATCTCTTTCAGTATAACACAATCATTGCTGCCATCCTGATAAAAAGTAACACAGATGATAATATAGACACAATACTGTACTCTTTCCATTCTTATTCTTCCTAAGCACAAACAAGTAATATATGGCTTTCTCTGAAGAAAAAACAAAAAACAAAAAAAAACACCCCACACAGAATCAAACAAACCACAAAAAAAAAAACCAACAACCCAAACACAACCCAAACCAAACAAAATAAAAATACACACACAAAAAGCCAAAACTACTACTAAACCCCACCCCACCCAAAATCCCCCATGTTATGTTTCTACTACAGAATACTTTGAATACAAATCCACCTGCACTAAACCACTTTTACATTTGGAAGTATAAACATTCAAAGTAAGTTTATTCCAAAGTGCTGTTTGTCTGAACTGGGCAATTTAAAATTCGCTCAGTCTTTCACTAAGAGAGTGGAAGACCAATAAAGCTTTCTCAGCCTATCCCCAAACAAACAGAAAAAGATACATAAATGCAGATGCAGTGCAACTCAGAATTTTCATGCAGAGAAATCAGGAAATTTCATGTTTATGATTCCCTTGCTTTTTTTGTAATGACACACAGAATGGATACCATAAGATAAACAGGTTTTTCTATTACACGTTTGCTAGGTAAAAATAAAAAGATGCTCTAAGATTCTTGAGCATAGGTTTTCTGACTTGTGTTTAATTTTTAAATGTTAAGAAGCATAATGACTTTATTTTGCCTTCCTGAAATATGTGTATTTTTAGAAACAGAGGACTGAAAGGTATGTATTGCTTCTGACATTTCTGTTGAGTCAGCTACTTTGATTCAGGTCAAATCTCTTTCATAAACAATTTTTCAATAGATGCTCAAGATCATTGTATAATCACTTCAAGAATATGCAAGCTTGAATTCAGTGACTGTCAACAGGGATGAAATATTTATTTTTAAAGGTTAGGAGGATTCTATTTTTTTAAAATTCTGAAACACAATTGCTTTTTCCAGTGGCAGAACTATCACATAATTTTACTTGTCCTTAGTTACATGATTATTGCAGCTTGATGAAACTTCTTCAGATTTCACAGTAGTCAAAGTCACATTATAATTTAAATTAGCCTAAAACAGGTAACAGAAAATAGACTGCATACTTGGATTACATGCACTTGCAGGCAGTTGGACTTAGCTTCACACAGCCCGTGACAGAAGCTGTTATGTTTTTAATAATGCAGTTTAAAATGGAAGATAAAGCTTAAAATTAAACACAGTTAAAAAAAAAAAAGCCAAATTAACACATTTATTAACATTGATAAGAATTGACCAATATGGCATTTCTGATTCTTGTTTGCATTAGAACAGCAGCAGAGACTGTACTTACTGCTATTGTAACCACAGTACGGTCAGCAAATGCAGTCATGACTACCTTCTGGAGTATGTTCTCCTGTGTAAACAAAAACATTTGTTGCTTTTCAAACAACAGAAGTCACATGGTAGTCACACAGACACTAAAAGTAACCACTGATTATTCTGTGCTTTTATTGATCCTACATTGCAGAAATGAAAAATTAACTACATGCCAGAACTAAGTCAGAGCCTGGTCTCCAGTTAGCCCTGCTTGCTCCTGCCACCCCCACTGCCTCTGGGCTTCAGTGCATGAGAGCTGTGCTCTGGCCCCAAAATCCCTGCCAACGTGGCCTCAGACTTACAGTGGAGAGCAAAGGTGAATTCAGGGTGCTGCCATTCTGCCTGCATGCTGGCACACGTCTGTGCTGCATTCTTCACCTTGCTGTAAGTCCAGGAATGTCCCAGCACACTGGAGACATTTAACACCAAGGGGTGGCAGGGTTAAGAGTATGATGTACCTGGCATATTATAGCAGTGGAGATGATATTCAAGATGGTCTTAGCATACATAGTTCTCACTCAACAAGTACTTGTCCTTTGCTATTTAGGAAACCTTGTTGTGTACCAAACTGCCTACAAATGTTACTAGCATAGATACCTTTATCTGCTATTACCTGTTCTTTAGATACGTATCTCAAGGGAGGAACTATATCCTAAATGCATTAAAATTAAAAATGTATTTTAACTTGGCTGCCAGAATTAAAAATTGTAGCTGTTGAAATAAACCCCTCCAATTATATTCTTTATTCTTAGAATGAAGAACACTGAAACATTTCTCATAACAACGTAACAAAGGAAAAAAAAAACCCTAAGAATGCATTTGGCTAAAATCCAGTCAGTGCACTATGACTGTGTGGTTTAAAATCTGTCTAACAGTTTCAGGCAATTAATGCAATAATTAGTATGTCTTTTCTATATCTCTATTTATTTCCTTGACTACTTTCAAGCCTTCGAAATTCCTGACTTGTCCACTAAGCTGGTCTGCTTGCCAGTTTACCTTTCACTGACCATCCCCACTGACCTTACAAAGCTTTTTTTTTTTTTAGAATATCAAACTACCAATGAAAATCATGCTTCATTTTCTAAATGCAGGAGATGCTGGAATAACAACCCCCTAGTAAAATGATTTAAAAGCTCTTTAGATTAGTTAGCAGTGACTTACAACTATCTTGGATTTGTAAACACACCTGCACTAAATATGGTGTAAGCATATTACTGAGTGGATAGTATTGCTTTCCACCTTTATATTCACGTATTAGCAGTTGTCTCCGCCTCAAGGAAAACAAGAAATCGGGAACAGTCCAAACTCACCGTTGCCATGTCAATAGATGCTGTGGCTTCATCCATGATGAAGATGCTCGTCTTCCGCACAAAAGCCCTTGCTAGGCAGAACAGCTGTCTTTGCCCCTGGCTGAAGTTTTCACCCCCTTCTGTGACTATAGCATCTGGAAATGATATAACAAAACCAGTATTTAGGTGCTCCGTGTGTGTGTGTATACAAGAGGGTCAGATCAGAGTAGAGCATATGCTTGGAAAATAATGTCTCACTTTCAGCATAAAGATTCTCAAAGTAACATATTCTAGGTCTGTAGCTCCTGGTGACCCCATTTTACTTGTTTACTTCCATTGCTCAGAAGAACTAGTACTGTCTCACTACTATTTCTGTCTCACTATATTCTTTATATCTATTAGACATCAAAGTAACTACGGATGTTTAGGAGTGAGTTTTTCTGGAACATGTGCAGTTTAGGTTACTGCATCCCCTGTCAAAGTAACATTCATAATTTCTTTACCTAAAGATTGTATAACTTGCCATTTTTAAGGTTTTTCTTTATGTCTTTGTGTGTGTTTTGGGGTGTTGGTTGGATTGTTTCATGGCTGAATGATTCACACCTTTAAGCTTTAAAAATCTTCCTCCCTGGATATGACTTGGAAAATAGAAAAGAACGTATTCTAGGTAACACCTGACTTGTTGACACCTTATTTGAATTCACAAGAACCAATGCTTCATGATGAAGACATACTGAAATAAAATAATAATTTTATCATTTATTTGAACAGAACCAGGATTCTGCCCCACAGGTGCAGCTGGTAGGGGAATTAGATGGATATAGCACCTCTGCCTGCAGGCAAGCACTTCCGGTCACCTTCTGAAAACCTAAAAAGCTTTTTCTTCAGCAACTACCTTTTTAATATGTAGAAAATGTGAAACAGGAATGTTGTGCACACTGGAAGTAATTTTCTCAAGAAGAAAGTCTTATTACCTAGACCCCCAGGTAGCGCTTTCACCACATGCTTGAGCTGTGCTATTTCCAATGCTTCCCACAGCATGCTGTCAGTGCACTTCTTCTCAGGGTCCAAGTTAAACCTGCAGTTATGTGTAATTAAAGAGTATCAGTCAATATAAACTTCTACAATATGTTTCTTCTTTTAGGCCACTTAGAAATAAACCTGCAAACAATCAGAATCATGTGCTCAACATCTGGGGCTGATTCTGATTTATCATTGGTATAAATGCTCTGAGTTTTGTAGACTCGGTCAACATTTATAGCAATGTGATTAAGAACAAAATCTGACTCTCAGCTGAGCAGCATTTGAAAAACTTTCTGGTTTGCAGATCTCTTTGTGGTTTTAGAA